TCTAGCAAGCTCAAGCCCCACCTCGACTGGTCCAAAAGTCTTCATGGGCAACATCGCGGACTCGAGCGCCTTGGACTCTGCCTGCACAGCGTCTCGAACAGCCTGGTCGTGAAGATAACGCTCTGCAGCTTTGCAGTCTCCCAATCGCTTTTGAAATCCGACTGTCACCTGCGCAGCCACCCGAAGATACGTCTGCCGCGTCAATTTCCCAGCCTTCAGAAGGTTGTCCAACCACCATCCCTCCACCCCATAGGCTTTGAAAGGTGGGAAATCTGTAGAGTTGAACCTGCACTGCGACTAGACCCGGAATAGCTGCACCAACAAAACACAGGTTTCGAATCCTATCTACACAAACTCCCGGGTAACGGACACATCATGTCCTTGGTTTTTGACTGCGAGACCGACGTTTTACTGCGTCCATTTAGGCCCCAACATTTCGAAGCCCCCCGAGGGCCATCCGAGGCCGTCCTTTTGCGCGAATCCCCTCAAGAATTACACACTCGAAGCCCGCCACAGCCTCGCTTCCTTGGTGTCGAGGCCGTCCGAGGCCGGATTCTCTAGGTTTCGAAGCCTTGCAAGGCGTCATTTTAAACAAATCCCCTTGCAACAGACACATCCGAAGCTGGTTGCGAGGCCGTTCGAGGCCGGATTCTCCAGGTTTCGAGGCCTTTCGAGGCCTTTCGAGGCCTCTCCGAGGCCGGCGTTTTGCGCAAATCCCCTTAGAACGGACACATCCGAGGCCTCAGGGGACTCGAATCTATATAATACTAATTAAGGGGTCCCAGACGATCACCACCTCGCCCGAGGCAACCCTCCAAGCGAACCACGCAAAACTTAGAATTTTAAGCCGCAGCTTTCCCTGAGTCCCTGAACATGCATATCCACACACTACAGGCACGCTCACGCAACTCCACAAGTCCAATCAAGCGGCAAAGTGCCAATCTTGTCCACTACCACATAGAAGTGCCCGTAGCGAACCGCACCCATATAGCCCTTGCCTGAAGTCGTGTTGGGGCTCAGGTGGGGACGAACCCCTTCGAACTCGAACACGTGCAAGGCGTCGCGACCACGGCGATGAAAAGGCTGTGCCAGATGCAGGTACGCATGAAGATGCACCTGAAGCGGTGAAGCTTTCTCCATGGTTGCGGATGTACCCTCCGCCTTTAATTCACGAGCGAGCCAAGCAAGGAAAGCTAAGAAGCGGCTGAACAATTGTCGCAGCACCGTCTCCTCCAACGACGCAAAGTCACCATGGCTGGAGTTGTATGTCAGTTGAACTGCCATGAACTTCCAAACCTTCGTTGCAGGGGCACGAGCGGGAGCCACAACAGCACCTCCGCCATCGGCAGCGCCCACATTCTGACCGACTTGACCGAAGGTTGCATTGTAAGCATCAAGAGCGCGCTGCACTTGATTTCGAACAGCCTGGCTGATGTCTAGTGCCAGAATATCTTCTGCCAGCTTGCTGACCTTTACACGACCTGAATTCTCAGCGATTCCTTGTAAACCATTCGACTGTGCCAACCTGGTCAATGCCCTCACATGCGCCTCACGACCAGGNNTGCGCTCACCGCCCATGTTCTCAACTGCGGACCGAGCAATACCCTATACTTTAGTAGCTTGAACAGCAGAAGCCTTCAGATAGCTGAACATGCGAAGTGTTCAATCGAAGCCACAAGGATTGCAAAGGCACAATTAACTTGACAAAGTTGTACCCTGGAGGCTGTTGTGAACATTTCGTCGCCCGGAGGGCTTAACGTTGAGGGTTTAGGGTTTTGGGGAAAGGTGTTGAGGAAGGCAGGTCTGCAAACGAAGCACACAGTGTATTGGCCCGAGCAGCCCACACACGTCATGCACCGCAAGTCTGTGCGAGAGACATTGATCCACCATGTATCGGAT